CCCACCCCTTGTCCCCCACCCCATCCCTCTCAGAAAGCTGGCAGGCCCTAGCTTTCTGAGAGTAGGGAGAGACCAGGGCAGACCCTAGGGATGGGCATGGCCTAAGGGCTGGGGCAGCCGGAGGGGGTGTATGTACCGGTGGGGAGGGCTGAAGCACTCCTTTGTTTTGGGGATGGATGTGGGAGGGATCTCTGGGTTCAACTGCCTTCCCCCTGCTGAGTGGGTGTCTGGGTGGCCCCAGGAATCCTACTCACATACAAGGCCCAGGCTTCTGGGAGGCTAGGAAAAAGGAATTTATTTTAACTTGCAAATTTGTTCTAACACTTAAAGTAGTATTTACTCATTGTTGAAAGGACAAGTGAAGAAAAGCTTGAAAGAAAAAACTTGCCCAGGACCTACAACCAGAAATCTCTAACTCTGGGTCCTCACTTGTTATTTAACGGCATTTAGGACCTTCACGCAAAGCGGGAAAGGTGACCGCAGGGCAAATAATTAGAAAAAGCAGTTCGCCAAGAGAAAACAGTTGCACGTCACTTACGATCTCCCAACCTAAAGATCACTCATTTTTCATCTTCTATTTCTGTGACTACTAATACATTTGAATATTCTCCTTTCTTTATTAGTCACTTAGATTTCTTTGGTGAATCGTGTGTGTGTTCTGGCTTTTGCATATTGTGTTACTGGGTATTTATGTGTCTGATCACCTGTTTGGGATCTTAATATATACAGGGAGATTAACTCTTAGTTGTATTTGTAGCAAATATTTTTTCCCCAGTTTGTGGTTTGCTCTTAAAATTTTTAGAGCGCTTTTTGATCTGTGTCCATTTTCCCCTTCAGAATTTCCTTACTGGTGTTTATGTTCAGAAAGTCCTTCTCCCTCCCCAAATAAAATATTTCCTTTTAGTTTGCTTTTGATCTGTTTCTCTTTGCATTTACCTCTTTAAACTCTGAAAGTGAAAGTGAGAAACCAACCTACTGTTTTCCCAGGTATTGAATCTTAGCCAATTGTCCCAGGGCCACTTCGTAACTCAGCCCTCCACTGTCTCTGTGTCCCCAAGGCAGTCAGTCCCCTCACGCCAGTGTCCAGGAGGAACACACACACACCCTCGAGTTTCCCTGGCTGCCACCTCTCACAAAAGCGCTGGCAAACGAGGTGTGATTTCTGATGTTGTGGAGAAGGTGAGGGGTGTACTCTGGAGACCTCAGCACAAACAACTTAAAAATTCCCTCTAGATATTTCTGTTCTGAGGGGCCCCTCCTGCTGCACCCCCAGGGAGGCCTGGCTGCTCATCTCTAACTCGGTTCCTTTCCCAGGAACCTCAACACCCTTGCCCCCATCTCCTGCAGAGCAACTGGGCTGCAGGGGCCAGCCCAAGCCCAGCTCTTTCCAAACAAAGGCCCTCGGGCTAATGGCAACCACCTCCCTAGGAAGCTGAGAATGCCTTTGGGGTCTCAGCCCCCACCCCCTGGGGCTGATTAACCTGTTTCTTCCAAACAAACCCAGTGGATGTTCTAGGTGGAATTCTCGTACCATCTGCTAATGACGCCCAGGTTGCTGTCTCGAGTGTCTTGAACAGGCAGGAAGCGAGAGTTTGGAAGGATGGAGAATCTGGAGCCCCCCTTAGAGAGCTCGTATGAAGAGGCTGCCTTGGAAGCCCCAGAGCAGCCAGCCAAAGACGCAAGCCTCCAGGGGCCTTCTCAGGTGCCCCCAAGGTGGCCTCGCTGGCAGGCAGGGCCCACAGTGCCACCCTTCTCAAGGTGGATAGGGTCGTGAAGGACATGCTCCGGAAGGATCCAGGCGCACACTCCCAAGAGCTACCGCGGGAGGCCAAGGAGTGGCCAGATCCCAGTGGCCACCAGGAGCAGCTAGAGTAGTGACCACGACCAACAGTGCCTGTCACAGCAGCTGCAGAAAGCAGGTGGCAGCAGCAGGGATGCAGGAGAGAGGAGGGCTGGTGCCCCTCAGGTGTGGGGAACGCCGGTTCCACAAGACCGGTCTGCACAGTCAGGCAGTGGTTGAGGGTTGGGGGTCACAGGCTTGGGTGGAAAGCCTGGCCCTCGCCCCAGCTCCCCCCCCAATGGCTGAGCCACCGTGGCCTCATCTGCAATGGGGGTAATGACAGTACTTGCCACGGGCATTGTCGGGAGGACTGCGTAGCACGGTGACTGAATGTGTGTGAAGAGTGAAAACTTCAAAACTGGGCATCACCATTAGTTGCTATGTCAGTGACCCAGGATCTGAAATCACACGTCAGCAGGGCCGAGTATTCTGGTGGCTCCGGGTGGGGGACTCCTTCCCTTCCTTCTTCCAGCTTCTGGTGGCCCCAGGTGGCCCCTGCCATGCTGCACTCTGCCTCCGTCTCCCTTTTCCCTCCCTCTCACTGTGTCATTCGTACCTTTGAGGTTTTATTTTATGGAAATGAGTGAGTCAATGTCACAGAAAAAATTCATTGCTTAGATTTCCCAAGATGAAGCCCATCAGGGTGGCCAAGAGGCAGAGGGCCGGAGCGAGGGAAGGCCTAGGCCGGGCCTTCACTGGAGTTTGCACAGGAAAGGCGAGGCAGGCAAACCGAACAGGTTAGGGTCAGCTGGGTTGAATAATGCTGATGAACTTGGAGTTAAGGCAATGGTTGCCAGTACCTGGCCCTGGGATGACTCGGGGCAGGGCCAATAATAGATACGAAGGTGGGTGAGGGCTCACCCTTGGATTGGCCTGTCTGCACATGAAAGGGGAGTTCCCAGCAGCTGGTTTGCAGGAGGAAGGTAACTAGTTTGGCCAGTGGTCTGGCTGTGATTAACGGATGCCAGATAGACACACAGAATCTTTAAAAAACAAATAAAACAAAAAAAAACAAAACAGTTCTCCTCTCTTATGAAGACACTACCTTAGATTCAGGACCCACACTAACTCCAGATGATCTCAAGACCCTTAATTTAACTCTGTCTGCCAAGACCAGCCACACGCACAGGTCCCAGGGGCGCGGACATGGACATGTCCGGGCAGGAGTGGGGGGCACAATTCAATCCACTGCACACTGCAATTGGCTAAACTGGTCTGTGGCTCTCTGTTCACTAGTGCAGTCCCTGGGCGTAAAATGACAATTTTTGCTTTTTCAGGTGATGAACCCTACAGTACTCCGTCGGAGGAGGTAGCGTTAGCCGAGTGTCCTCGCCAAAGAGGAGTCTGAGGGAGGGTGTGGGAGGAACTCTGTGCGGTAATCCTGGACCAGGGTGGGCAGAAGTCTTGGGATGGAGGGGCCTAAAGCCAAGGCAGAAGGGAGGTAACACAAGAGCAATGGCCCCAGTGGCCAGAGGAACCGGGGTGTTTGGGGGAGGTAGGATGGTGGGGCCTCAGGTTCTCTGGAACTTTTAGGCTAGAGATGCTATTCCTTAAGCTGCCTGTGGCTGTGTAATAAAAAGCCCTGGCTCACCTGGCTGAAACAATTTGGAAACAAATCTCCCATTACAGGAAGTCTGGTGGCTGGGGGCTTTCAGGTACAGTGTGTTCAAGGCTTTGCCCTGCTTTTCTATGATCCTTCTGGCTCCACCATCCTCTATGTGGGGCTTTTTCTCAGGCCAGGTGCCCTTGTGGTCATAATAGGCCCAATGAGATGTGATTGTGTACATGAGCCAGAGGAGGACCACATGTTCTTGGGTCTGCTAATGAGCAAGGAAACTTCCCAGAGGCCCTAGCAAACCTCACCTCATTCCCAGGCCTGGGCATGATCCCCCTGAGCAGGACCACCCCCTGCTCACCACCCCTGAGCAAAACTGGGGACAGATCCCCTATTTTGCTATGCACCCTCCTGCTATGGGTGCTGCAGATCAGTGGTTCCTATCACCCACACACTAGTGCAGCAGAGGGTCTAGGGCTAACCCACCCCAAAGGCAAAAGGCACCAGATGCCCCAGGGAGCCCAGCAAAAGGGCCATTGCCCTGGAGCACTCGCCCTGGTGTGGGCAAAGCTGATAGTCACTCAAGGCAGTGACTACAGGAGTACGACTCATGGGACAGGGCATGGATTTCTGCTGAGTGTGACCTGGGAAATGACCAGAGAGGAACCACAGGCAGATGTCCCCTCCAAAGGAATCCTGGGCTTACTTGGAAGAAAGACCCCTGAAAGGGCAAATCATCTGTGAGCCCCTGACAGCAGCCTGTCCAAAACAGGAGACTCCTCAGCAGCATCACGCTGAGGCCCCCAACTCTTGTCTATCTCAGGGGTGCGCTGACCTCTGCTCTTTCCTGCGCTCCCGGAGCAGCTGAGCAGGCAAGAGATGGAGATCCTTTATCCTGAATCACAAGGGTTAATCCCTGTCTTACTTTCTTCGGACTGCAGGTTGGGTGACAGATTCACAGACAAGTGTCTTCTCCCAGTGACCTCACCAGGAGGAGGGGCCAGAGGGCTTCCTGCATCTCTCTTCCTTGGGCACTAATCCCATTCACCGGCTCCACCCTCCTTACCTAATCACCTCCCCAGCCCTGCCTCCAAATGCTAGTGCCCTGGGGACAGCTTCCAACACAGGAATTTGGTGGGGGAGGACGTGGATACAAACATTCATCCATGGCACCCACAAGGAAAGACAGTCAGGGCTGCAGCTGCCCAGGCCCGTGGCCTTCACCTATTCCTACTCACTGCTGTGGGGACACTGACTCTCTGCAGAAAGACTGATGTGGGCTGGGGCTGTTGGGAGTGGTCAGTCCCTTATAAAGTTTATTATAAACTAATAGCTGCATCCCATTCATTCTTTCATCAGAGTCATGGCCATCCTGATTCCTTGCGGCGCCTGCACCTGCACACCCTTTTTTCTCCTTATGTACCTGCAGGCTTGGCTGTGAATAGTGCTGGGGACTGAGCCCACTACGCAGCCACTCCCGGGTTCAGGACCTTTGCTCTGCATGTGCCTGTGACATCTCCAGATGCCCACAGCCCCCTGTGACCTCATCGCCCAGACAACTCAGCCCAGTGGGGCCATCAACCAGCTCAAGTACAGAGGGCCTGGATGATCACCAAGCCCTCGGGAGAAGCCAGCGTCCTCTCACGTGATGACCGAAGGTCTTCGGGGAGCCCAGCAGTGGGGGCCCAAAGTCAGGCCTCCCTCCCTGCAGATGCCCCAGTGGCTAGCACCCCAGAATCTGCTGCACAGCAGGATGTAGATCAGGCCTCCACTGAGCCAGCCACCTCCAGGCCCACGTCAGCGTCAGGGGACGAGGATCAGCTTGAAGACGAAGCTGCTGCCGGGCACAGGCAGCAGCCCAAGGAGGCCACGGGCCAGCCGGCCTGCCCAGCCCCAGATTCCCTGGAAACGACCGTGAGCCCCCAGAGCCCAGTGTGGGACAGGCCAGCACAAGACTCGCAGATGACACAGAGTCCTTGGGTTTCCCAAAGTGACTCCCTGGTTGAGAAAAAGACACCAAGAACACTGAGTGTCCCAAGCAGGGAGGAAGACTTGGATCCGCCCACCCCTAGCACTCAGGTGCAGTTCCCCCAAAATGTTCCCCCCATGAGCGCTGCAGACGCAGACAGCCAGCCTGATGCTCCAGCCGCTCTCACCGAAACAGCTGCTGAGAAATCTGAGGGCTCAGGGGCCTTGAGCCCTGACACTGAAGCATTGCCATCAGCTGAGCCCCAGTCAGTGACCGAGGGGCATTCAGTGGACTGCTCAGGAGTCCCACAGGCTCTGCCAGTCACTCCCTGCCCAGGAGGCAGTGCCCTGACCTTGCCTGGGGCCCCCACAGTGGCCCAGGGGTGGAAGCCCCTGGACTCCAGCCTGAACTTGGCCATGGAGGAGAGCTCTTACATGCGCTCGATGACCAGCTTGTTGGCCAGGGGCAAGGCGTCCATTGGCTCCCTGGCAGACGTCCTGGTCTGGTCTGAGACCACCATGGACACTCCCACGGGCCTCCTGGCATCCGGGCACAGCTCTGTGACTGACCTTCTGTGCAGCACGGGGCCCAGACTGCACTCAGTCTCCAGCCTCCTGCAGAGCGCCAGGTCAGCCTTCTCCTCCTGGCTGGCCACAGGCACGGGCTTGGTCCTGCACTCTATCACCCACTTGCTGGAGAGGATGGAGCAGAGGACAGCAGAGGGCATCTGCTTGGCCATGCACTACCTGACCGGACACCTTACCCCATATCACTCTGGCCTCAGCGGTGACTAGACCCTGTGCAGTGAGTGCCCCGAGGACCAGCTTGACAGCCTCCTGGGCCCTGGGCCCCTCACGCCCTGCTCCCTCGCCCCACACCTGCCCCGGACGCTTCTCCCCAGACTGGGCAATAAATCACCAGCAGCATTTATTTTCTAAGTGCCAGCCTTATCCTTTGTTCACGGGGTGGGGGTGGGGGGCACTGGGTGGAGGGACAGGAGAGGGCTAGGGTGTTCTGGAAACAGAAGCGTATCCCCTGAGGGCTTCTCGAGTGGTTCCATTCAGGGGCTGAGGCCAAAGCAAAAATGAAAGAACTTAGGCAGGGGAGCAGGGCAGGGCAGAGGTCTCAGACCTGCAAAAATTGATCCTGGCTGGACCTCCAACCAGGTAAGTGTGTTCTGAGGGAGTGAGACCTGACCCTTCCCTAGGGCCTCCAGGCCTGGCAGGCTCAGGCTGCCCCACTGGGGCTCTCTGAGAGGGGGCGAGGGCATGGAGCCAGGCCAATGTGGGTCCAAACTCCAGTGCCACTGCTGGCCCTGGGCCCGCCACTTCTCCCTCTGAGCCTCTGACTTTCCTCTGTAGGATGGATAAGAAAGCCACACCATGAAGATGTGAGACAAAAGGGAAACCTTGCAGGTCCTAACACATGCTGTGTGGCACTTACTGTGCTCCCACATTGCAACTGCCACTACTCTCATCCTCCAGCGAGCCAGGCACGAGGTAGGGGCAAGGGTGTACATAGTGTGACCAGCCATCCCAGTTTGCCTGGGACTAAGAGGGCTCCTGGGACACGGGACTTTCAGATTCAAAACCAGCAAAACCCCAGGCAAACCAGGATGGCAGGGTCACCCTAGACCCAGGTCTCTTCACGTGGCTTTCACTCTTGTCTATGACTCTGTCCACCTTGGAAAGGCAGCCACCTGCTTTGGAAATCCACCAACCTACCTTCTGGCTGGATACAGTGTCACACTGGTCACGTGACTTGGCAACTGGGGCTCCTGCTGGACCTCAGTCCCACTCCTGCTCTTGGCCAGGTGTGTTATGCAGGCTACGTCCCATACCCCTTCATGCTGCGGCCCTGGGCATGGGTTTGTCCACTCCTCACTGCCAGCGGCATCTCCAAATGGGACCTTTGGCTGACACCAGCCCACTGATAAACTTATTTGCCCTACATTGTGTCTCTCAAGTTGTAAATTAATTGCTAACATTTAAAAATCCAGAGAATTGCCCTGGCTGGTGTGGCTCAATGAATTGAGCACCAGCTTGTGAACCAAAGGGTTGCTGGTTCATTTCCCAGTCAGAGCACGTGCCTGGGTTGCAGGCCAGGTCCCCAGTAGGGGGCGCATGAGAAGCAACCACACATTGATGCCTCTCTACCTCTTTTTCTCCCTCTCTTCCCTGCTCTCTAAAAATAAGTAACTATAATCTTAAAAAAAAAATCCAGAGAATTGGCCCTGGCTGGACGGCTCAGTTTGCTGAAGTGTCGTCCCAATACACTGAGGTTGTGGGTTCCATCCCCAGTCAGGGCACGTACAAGAATCAACCCGTGAGTGCACCATCAGTAAGTGGAATGACACAGTATCTCTCTCCACCCGCTTCCTCTCTCTCTCTAAAAATCAATAGGTTTAGGGTTTTGAAACCTGAACAATTTATATAAGCATGTGGATTTCTGCTTTTCTTGAAAAACCCAGGGGCCTTGTTACTTCAGAGCGACTGAGCCACCCACTTGCAGAGAGACCTGCCAGGCCCGTGCCTGTGCCTGCCGCCACTGGCCTGGCCACAGAGGCGCCCTTGTGCCACCCCTACCCCGAAGGTGGCTCACTGAGGAAATCTGGTATCAGGCCCCAGGGGGTGCAAAGGGGGGTCAGGTGCGTCAGCCGCCCCTTTCTGTAGGAGGCCGCGAGCCGTCCCCCGTGCAGTGAGAGCATCGACTGGAGGAAGGAGATTGTCGGTTCAGATCAGGTCGCCCCTGCACCCCCCAGAGAAGCAGTTGAGGCAGACCTAAAAAGAGAGGCTGGATGAGATCCCCTGACCGAGGCCAGAAGAGTGAAGGCTGAGCCCTGGCTGCTGCAGCTCAGAGGGCTGAGCATCGGCCTGAGAACCAAAAGGTCGCTGGTTGGATTCCCAGTCAGGGCACGTGCCTGGGTAGCAGGCTGGGTCCCCAGTTGCGAGTGCACGAGAGGCGACCGACTGCTGTTTCTCTCACATCCATGTTTTTCTCCTTCTTTTCCCTCTAGAATAAAATTTAAATTAAAAAGTCTTTTTAAAAAAGACAAAGGATGAAAGCCCAGGCAGACGGGATGGGTGCAGGGTGGGGGAGGCGGTCCAGCAGCTCCACCTGGACGGAGACCCGAGGAGAGGATGGACAGTGACACTGCCCGGAGGGGGGCCCCGAAGGCTGTCAACAAGCATTTCTGAGGGAGGTAAATGCCACTGCGTGCCAACCAGTGCTAGATACTGATGCGTCAAAGGCGAACCAAAGATCGGAAGGGATGGCGACCGACCCTGACTATGTGAGGGAATGACCGACCAGCACAGCTGCCGAGAGTGGCCGGACCCAGGCCGCGGCCTCCTCCCCAGGGTCCTGTCTTTCCGGGCCCACCCTCCCGTCTGTGCTGGCTCCTTTCCCAGGTGGCTCAGCCACCTTCCTGGAGAGAGAGAGGCCCTTGTTCTCACTGACCTTAGCAGGGGAGACCTGGGGAAGGGTACCAGTGAGCCTACACCAAACACTGAGGCCACAGGAATGGGATGCCAGGTCACCTGGCCTGGGCCTCATGCCAACCTCTGAGGCCAGGGTCAGCCCAGAACTGGGGGATCCCCTGGAAGCATGTTAAAGCTGGCAGAGTTGTAAGGGGCATGACCTTGGGGTCCAAGCTGTCTTGAATCCTGGCTCCACCCCCTACTAGCCATGTGGCTTTTATCCCCCTGTGCCGCAGTTTCCCCATCTGTGAAGTGGGGATAACAGCACCCACTGCGGTGGGCTGTTACAAGAATTAAGTGAGCTCATGAGCCGGATGAGGGTGTAGAGCTGTGCCTGGCGCATAGTTGGGTGCCTGCTGTGTGAGTAGTTGTTACGACTCCTGCGGCAGGAGGCTTCTGTGCAGCTCTGTGCCACCACTGACCCTCCTGCCTGCTCCCGGCCTTCCTCTTCACTGCAGGGTGAACAGCTGTGTTGGCAAATCCTCCTGGCAGCACATCTTCTGTGCAGGTGGGACCCCCAGGAAGGTAGGTGCCAGCGCACCTGGGGAGGAGGTCAGGGCTGCACACTCAGGGGTGAGGAGTCCAACATGGGGAGAAGTGGGTGCAGCCCAGTTCTGGAAAAGGTGGCTGGGGAGAAAGGGCCAGAGAGCAGGAGCGTGGGCAAAGGCCCCATTCCCAGGCAAAGGGAAGAGTTGGTAAGACTCCGGAGCAGTCAGCAAGCAGCAGTGGCCAGCGCATCGTGGGCACGTGGACCGCCTTGGTGGATATGTGAAATCAAACGATGGGAGCAGTGCTGGGGAGAGGCAGGGAGCAGGTACAGAAGGTAGTGTTCCAGGGGGGGGGGCGGACAGTGAGCGGTCAGAATAACAGGGTGGCTGTATGTGGGGTACTCTCTGGTGCTGAGAACTGAGGCATGACGAAGTTACAAATTCACCCCTGCAAAGCTGGCACCCCCTGCAATGCAGGCCAGGAGGCAGCCCTGCTTTGCCTTTATGTGTGAGGGCTACCACCTGACAACCACCTGTATTTCTCTAGGAGAGACAACCATCTCTCTGGGTACGTGTCCACCACTGAGAGACTGGCCAGTAAGCAGAGGATCTGCTTAAAGAATCATCTCCACTGGGCCAGGCGCCAGCGGGCGGGCACAGCAGCCTAACATCTGAGCCCAGCAGGCACTTGGCTAAGGGAAAGGCAATGACAAGTCCTGGCAGATGGCAGAAGGGACACTGCGGTCTCCTACCCAGGGTGGACCACCCCCTCGGTGAAGGACTTACTGCCCAGCTGCCGTGAGTGCCATCAGTGCACAGCCCTACGAAGAGCCATCTGACCCAATGTCATGCCCCCCGGGCAGCCCGATCCAGAGACTGGTCTCTGCAGGGGCCGAAGACCCAACTGCCCGGGCCCGGCTTGGAGCAATTCCGGCTCCAGAGCTCCTGGGGTGGGGGGTGACGGGGGTGAGGTGGGGTCTGCCTGGCAGGCTCCCTCCCCCTCTACATGCTCCAGCTTCCTTCCGGCTCTGAGCCTATGTTCAGGAAAACCCGACCTGTGACCAGACATTGCTATTTTTTCCCATCTGAGATGCATATGATTGGGGAGTGCAACCCACAAATTCAAACAATGTTATAAGTTCAAAGATTGTGTTTAAAAAGAATCGCTCTTTTTTGTAAGAAAATATAGAAATTTGAGGCCACTTTAAATAGGGTAAAAATAAAATAAATCTTTGTCGGTGTTTTTACTTGTTTTGCAAGGAAAATATCCTTGTTTAGTCTATGGCTGCTTGGCTAATTGGTTCAAGTCACCACAGGACTGCGGTCAAGTTCATAGGTTTGGCTGGTTGAAGTACTGATTCTATCCAGGAAAGTGTCTCCTACAGAAAGCGATCATAGATAGGGCAGTCCCCTAGGGAATGTGATAAAGTGTAAAGGTAAACTAAGGTCTCCAGTACATATTTAAATATTTAAATGAAAACCTGGACCCTCTCTGGGCCAGGAGGCAGCCCTGTTTCTTAGGCCTCCCGGATCTTGAGCTGGGAGCTCCTAAGAGTGTGGAGTGCGCCCTCTGCTGGAGAGAAGGCCCCCCTGGCCTGCATCAGAAGGACCCCAGAACACCCATGGGACCCTCCAGGATTTGAGGTTTTTATCTTGTGAGAGTGGTGAGTTAAATAAAAACTGGCTTTATACTCACAACACTTCTAACACCAAAAGCGCGGGTTTTCCACGCCAAGCAATTCTTCAAACTCTGGGTGTCATCCTACAAGTCACTTCTGACACCAACCATCTCAAGTTAGGCGAGACCCCCAGGTTAAGTTTCCCAAG